TCTCCCATTCTGTGGGTTGTCTTTTTACTTTCTTGGTGGTATCCTTGAGGCACAAAGGTAAAAAATCTCTATGAAGTCCAATTTAACTTTTATCTTTTTCGGTTGTTTATGTGTTTGGTATTACATCTAAGAAACCTTGCCTAAACCAAGGTTACAAACATTTACCCTTATGGTTTCTTCTAGGAGTTTTGAAGTTTGAGCATTTACATTTAGTTCTGTGATCAATTTTGAGTTAATTTTTAAAAAGATTTTAAAATGTAGAGAGAGAATGCAAGCATGAGCAGGGGGAGGGGCAGAGGGAAAGAGAGAAAGAAGCAGACTCCCCACTGAGTGGGGAGCCCAGTGATGCAAGACTGGATCCCAGCATCCTGAGATCATGACCTGAGCCACAATTGAGTCCAATGCTTAACTGACTGAGCCACCCAGGAGCCCCTTGAGTTAATTTTTGTATATGATGTGAGGTCAGGGTCCATTTTGATTCTTTTGTATGTGGATATCCAGTTTTCACAGCACCATTTATTGAAAAGACTATTTTTTCCTCATTTAATTCTCTGGGTACATTTATTGAAAATCATTTGACCAAATGTGAGGGTTGTTTTCTGAACTCTCTATTCCGTTCATTTGATCTGTATGTCTATCCTTATGCTAGTACCACACTGCCTTGATTACTGTAGTTTTGTAGTGGCTTTTGAAATGGGAACATATGAGTCCTTCAACCTTGCTCTTTGTTTTCAAGATTGTTTTGGCTACTCTTGGTCTTTTCCATATGAATTTTAGGATCAGTTTGTTAATTTTTGCTTAAAGGCAGCTTGGGTTTTGATATAAATTGCATTGAATCTGTAGGGCAATTTGGATTATATTGCCATCTTAACAATATTAAGCCTTCAAATCCAAGAATGTGGGATGTTTCTCCATTTACTTTTTTCAACTGTATTTTGTAGTTTCTGTGTAAAAGTCTTGAAACTGTTCTATTAAGTTCATTTCTAAATATTTTACTCTTTTTTTTTTTTTAAGATTTTGTTTATTTATTTGAAAGAGAGAGAAGGTATGAGAAGGGGGAGGGCCAGAGGGAGAAGCAGACTCCCTGATGAGCAGGGAGCCTGATGCGGGACTCGATCCCGGGACTCCAGGATCATGACCTGAGCTGAAGGCAGTCGCTTAACCAACTGAGCCACCCAGGTGCCCTATTTTATTCTTTTTGACACTTTTGTAAATGGATTGCTGTCTTTATTTTGAATAGTGTACAGAAATACAACTAATTTTTGTATATTGATCTTTTATCCTGCACCTTTGCAGAACTGTTTATTAGTTCTAATAATTTTTGATGTGAATTCTAATAGTTTTTTATGCAAAATCATGTCATCTGTGAATAAAGGTAGTTTGATTCTTCCTTTTACATTTTATTTCTTTTCCTTGTCTAACTGCTATGGCTGAAAGCTCCAGTACAATGCTGAAGAGTAGTGGGGAGAAGGGGCATCTTTCTTTTGCTCCTGATCTTGGGGGGCAAAATTCAATATTTCATAATAAAGTATAATGTGAACTATGGACTTTTCATAGATACTCTTTATTTGGATGAACAAATTCCTTTTTATTTGTAATATTTTTTTCTTTTTTTCCCCATGAATAGTTGTTAAATGTTTTAAAATGCTTTGTCTGCATCTACTGAGATGATCATGTGGTTTTGTCCTTTACTCTGTTAATATGGTGCATTACGTTTATTGGTTGTTTTTGTTTTTGTTTTTTTTTAGAGAGAGACAGTGTGTGTGCATGTATGAGTGGTAGTGGCAGGTTAGGGAGGGGTAGAGGGAGAGAGAGAATCTTAAGCAGGCTCCACACCCAGTGCAGGGCCTGATATGGGCCTTGATCTCATGACCCTGAGATCACGACCTGAGCCAAAATCAAGAGTTGGATGCTTAACCAACTGAGCCACCCAGGCCAACCACACACATTTACTGATTTTTGGTTGTTAAACCAACCTTGAATTTTTAGGATAAATTCCACTTGATACAGTCTTTTTTTATAAACTGTTAAATATGGTTTGCTAATATTTTATTGATCATTTCTTTCTTATACATTCATAAGTGATATTGGTCTGTAGTTTTCTTGTGATGTTTTTGTGCAGAATTGCTATCAGGGTAATAATGGCCTCTGAATGAATTGGGAAATATTTCCTGCATGTCTACTTTTTGGATATCATCCAAAAGAATGTAGTAATGTAATGTTGAAATTGTGTAGGTAGTATACTGTTCACTGTGTCTGACAGATAAAGATAGTATATGGAATTAGATCACCATTCTGTGTGGAAACTTGGCCAAGATATTTAACATTGTTGAACTTCACTTTCCTCACCTGCAACATAGGATTATCAAGTCTACACATAGGATTTTATAGAGATTGATTAGTAGAATCCCTGGCATAATAAATACTTGGTCACTATTATTTAAGAAATATCTGGGCCTACTAATCAATGGTAAGACTTACTGACCAAAGATTTTATTTGTACCCAGACTTGATGACTAAGTAGTATGATAGTGGTTGTATTTGAAATAAAATTTTCCGATTAGTAGGAATATTTCAGAAGGTATCAGAAACCAAATTTTCAAGGGGAACTGTTAGGTTTAGATTTTAGTTTAAGTTTTGCTTCTCATTAAAAAAGTAACTTGGCCTCCCTTTCCTCATCTTTAAAATGATGCAGGTAGTACCATGATGGGTATAGCATTAGCAGTGACTTTCACTTTTCTCTAAAAGTAAAAGGCAGTCAGAGTGTGAGTTTCCTTTCTTCCTGTCTTTCAGAGATTGTTTTCCCACTGAGGCTGAATTTTACCAGATTTGGTGTTCCTCTGGGATGTTCTTCAGGGATTCCTTAAGGGCATATTTTCTCTATAATACTTAGTCATCAATATACTTCCTATCAAGTTTATGGGAGAAAGCACTGCATTTTATTCTTTAGCCAGACTGTGCAACGATGGAATAACATTGTCACAGAATTCTTGGAAAGTAGGCTGCCTTCGTTGTCTATTGGTATTTTTTGGTTTAGAATATAGCACAGGGACTCTGTCTAGATTGTCTGCCATAAGACAGTTATCAGTTTTTAATTAGCCTTTGATGATATTTTCTTTTTTTTTTTAAAGATTTTATAAAGATTTTATTTATTTTTTTGACGGAGAGAGACACAGTGAGAGAGGGAACACAAGCAGGGAGAGTGGGAGAGAGAGAAGCAGGCTCCCTGCAGAGCAGGGAGTCCGATGTGGGGCTCGATCCCAGGACCCTGGGATCATGACCTGAGCCAAAGGCAGACGCTTAGCGACTGAGCCACCCAGGCGCCCCTTGATGATATTTTCAAAAGTTTTATTGACTTGGATATGACAAATATCAGATGAGGGGTGCCTGGGTGGCTCAGCTGTTAAGTGTCTGCCTTCGGCTCAGGTCATGATCCCAGGATCCTGGGATCGAGCCCCCCATCGGGTTCCCTGCTCCGCGGGAAGCCTGCTTCTCCCTCTCCCACTCCCCCTGCTTGTGTTCCCTCTCTCGCTGTGTCTCTTTCTGTCAAAGAGATAAATAAAATCTTTAAAAAAAATAGTTAAAAAAAAATAAGATGATGTAGTGATGATGTAGTGTATGGTGATTAACATAACATTATAAAATAAAAAAAATAAGATGATAAAAATGGAAAAAACAAAGGCCTCAAACAACTTGTTATTTTTATTTTATTTTAAAGATTTTATTTATTTATTAGAGAGAAGAGGAAGAGAGAGAGAGAGAGAACAAGCAGGGGTGAGGGATGGAGGGAGAGGGAGAAGCAGACTCTCCACTGAGCAGGGAGCCTGAAGTGGGACTCGATCCCAGGACCCTGAGATCATGACCTGAGCCGAAGGCAGACGCTTAACCAACTGCACCACCCAGGCACCCCACAACTTGTTATTTTAAGTATAACTACTTAGCAACAGGTTTATTTGTCTTAATTCAATTGAATTTTTTCCTTAAAACAGATTTATTTGTTTGTAGATGAGATGTGGTTCTCTAGATCCTCCAAATGGGTAGCTCTTAGTTCTTAGAAACTAATTAGTTTCTTAGAAAGCAGTTTCCTTAATTTTTCAATCTGAATTTCCAAGTTAGTCCCTCTTGCCTGACTTAAACCTCCCTTGTTCTAATTAAAAATTTTAAAGCCCATCTTCCATTTTTGTCTTAAAAGGCAGGTCCTTAACCTTCTTGGCATAATATTAGCAATGACTATATAGAGAATTCCAATTTTGGTGAAATGGTTTTGGCAGGATGGTACTTGAGTTAGATCTGCCTCTCTCCTATCTTAACAAACACTGGTGATCTCTACAGAGCACGGTGCTCACAATGGGATCCTGCAAAAGGAAGAGAGGTGGGCGCACCAAATTGCAAGACTTGCTTCATGGAAAATGAATGGGAATAAGGCAAGGGAGTGACTGGCAAATATAGGAAGGGGCAGCTTTAGGAATTCTCCTAAATTGGGAGATTTTATTAAGCACAAAACTTGGTAATTATTCAGTAATTTATTTCCTGCATTTTTAAAAGAAATGGGTAAATAGCTTTCTTTGTGGAATTATGTTCATGTGCCGTGTCTAGAGACAAAAATTAACAGGCTGATGTTTATCTGCAGTCACACATGCCATGTTATTCTCTGGCATTTTCTTTTCTTTTGTGAAATTTCTAGTTTTAGCTAGGAACTAGCCACAATGAAACAAGGATTACATTAAAATCCACAGGAGGGAAAAAGATGGAAAAGAATAGTACCCAATCTTAATAGTAGTTGAGCTTAGATGAGCTCTGTATGATTTTACTTTATAATTTCTACTTTTCTGTAATTTTAAATTTTTTTTGAGAAGTATGTTTCAATGAGTATTTATAATTTTAAAAATGAGTTTGCATTTTATCTAAATAAAGAAATCAAAAGGATGCATCAAGTACCCTAGTCAGTCTGTTCCTTCAAGCTATTTTTACTTAGTCAAACACAATGCTGATTATCTTAAGTACAATGATATGTAAAACTTCTTAGCATAAAATACATACCAGGATTAAGATATATAATATAATTTTTGTCAATCTCCATTTTTTGCAACATGTAGCAATAAGAGAATAATTTTAAAAATAAAAGTACTTAAATGTATTAATATCTGAATGTTAATTTTAATATTATCTCTTTTTCTCTCTCTTTGTCTTTTGCTTAGGTCAGCTGATTGCACAGTGCTTAAATATAATTAAACATGAGGCAACATAGTATAACGTCCTGACATTATCTTATACTCTGATTTTAAGTAGAAATTATATTTGTAAGTATTTCAAAAATTATAGTCACTACTATATGTAATTGCTTTGATGTTATATAAGCTTTTAATAGATAACTTAGTCTCTGTGATGTTATTTGGTTAGAGCTGTCAGTTAATTAGAGATAGGCTTTCTTATTGTAAAATCAGAAACAATCAGTAATTGCCTATATTAAATGGAAATGTTAGAGTTCATAAAGCTTGAGAATCTTGGAACAGTATATACATACACACGTACTTATTACTAGGATTACTCTTAGATGATAGTCCTTGGTTTGTGAAAAAGTTTGGTCTGACATTTAGTAATTAAGCCTTTTTGCATGATACTGCCTTGCCTCAACGAAGCCACATACAAATCAGGTGTAGAGAACTTTGGCTTTTAAATGTTAAAAAATAACTGGAGAAGATGGGTACCTAAAATATACTTTTACAATAGGAACAAAGAAGCTTAATAAATCCACATTCATTTTCTATTTGATTGCTAAATATATAAAGAGTTTTTAGTTATGGTCTGCCTGTCTCACAGAGAAAGTATGATTATCTAAATATATGCTGCTTTTTTTTAAAGTAATTGCTTGCTCAACTCTGTGCTTTCTGTAAAATATTGCAAAATTGTGTGCATCTGCAAGTTAAAACCATGTAATACAGCAGGCTAAAATTGAACAGAATTTGATTGCAGACCTGACTGTTTTTCTTGGTTTTGTCAATAGAAATATAATGTGCTAGAATGTGCTCAGGATTTTTTGAACAGTCCATGAAAGGTGACAGGGATGTTAATCTCCACTTCAGCCCTGGCAACTTCACTCAAGTCCTTGGCATTCAGAATCAGAAGATAAGCAGGCTTTTGTCCTGCCCCAGGGCTCACCACCACGCTCAGAACTACACCTGTTAATCAAAAGTAAGTAAGGCAATGTTAGATTAAAAGAAAAAAAAAAAAAAAGCCCAGGACCATAGATTAAATGTCACTGAAAAAATATAGGAGGTATTATATTGACAAATAAAGAAAACCATATGACTTGGAATCTTGTTCTGACTCTTCCACCATCTGGCTGTGTCATCACCCTGAAGGGATCTTTCAAACTCTTTATGTTCCCTAGACTATGAGCTCCAGGAAGGGAGTGACCATATCTGTCTTGTCCACTGTTATATCTCAATAGCTACTGCAATTACTAGGACATAGTACGTGTTCATTAAATTCTTATTGATGAATGATCTGTGCTCTTGTCTGTAACATAAGATTTAACATAACCTACTGCAAAAAAAAAAGTGTTGTGACAATCAAATGAGAAATATATATTAAAAGACTTTGAAAACAATAAGGTATATTATTTCTGTACTCTCCAAGACCTAGCTAGAAGCTTACTTCCTTCCAACAAAATGAGAGCAAAGCTTTTGCAGTTTTGTCTGGATGGGCTGTATATGTAAAATTGTTCAGCATGAAATGGCTCCATAATTCTTTATTATACTCATTTCTCTGTGGGTTTCCATATTTTAATCCCAGAGAGTGTAACCTACCTTCCTGTCCCAGCTAATCAATAGTTAACAAAGACTGATGTTTTGTCATTGAGTCACTGTGTTATAGGCTGTAGCTCCAGCTTACTAAAAGAAGAAACCCAAAGCAGAGACACAAAGCCCCATTCTCATTCTCTTTGATCTGATAGAATACTCAGTTTTTCTCCTTCGAACTTTATCCTTTTTCAGAAATTTATCTAGGTCAGGAAAGGTAAAAACCTAGAATTCATGCTGTTCTTTCTTCATCCTTCCCTCTTTCATCTAGAGCAGACATTGATGTTCCATATGACACCACATGGTACTTCAACATTTTTCCATGAGTAATCAATGAGATTGGCCACAAGATGAAACTTATTTTCTAATAAGTTTAAATTCTTCCATGCTGCATTAAATTCAGTAGTATTAAGGATCATATCTGAACATTAGGGAGTAATCACTGTGACTCCTAAGGCACTAGCATATAGAACTCCAATAAAAAGAAAGTGTTCAGACACATCCATTGCTTTCATTACCATCATCTTCCTCCAAGGCATCTGGGTGAGAAACAAAGATGGGTTCTGATGGATATGAATCAGGCTCTTGCCATACCCATGTTTCTTTAGTTTTAACATTCAGCTTACAGAGCTGCTTGTGAGAAAGAAAAATCAATCAATTAATCAGTCGATGTGCTTCACTTGACTAGTATATGACTCAAACTACTTTTCTAGGATTAGGTAAATGGATTAATTACCCTGTCTGGAACAAAATGATTCAAGCCAAGTCCATAGGCGTACGTGTAAGGTTTCCCACCATACTTCTGATAATTGATTTGAGGAAACTCGAATGCTACAAAATAGAGGACATGCTTAGGAAAACTCAGTTAATCTCTGAATGGAACAGTTTGTTCCCTCTCTAAATCATCTCACCTTGGCGAGGCCCTGAAAAGAGAACCTCAGGCTCCAGCCAGATGGTCTCGTCACTGCACAGAATTGCAGTGGCAGTTGTGTTGGGGAGGGTGACTAAGTTCTTGCCTGTGTCAGCCTAAAGAAAACGGATAACAGACACCTCAGTGAGAAGGAAAGAAAAATCAAGCAGCCATAAACGCAGTCTTCCTGAGTTTTGTCCCCTGCATTCTTTGTTTCTTCTATCAATGTGTAGGAAGAAGCAGTGCAGAAAGCTATAGAAACGTAAGTCCAGTAACATAATTGGGAAAGTTGCCTGTGCCTGTGTTAGTTACTGGCTGTGTACCACTGGGAAAGTCATGTAACCTCTAGGCCCTCTAGGCCTTCACATCTCTACAATGAGATAGTCCTCAAAGAAAATTTAGGGCTCTGAGGAAGGGCCTCTGAGGAAAAAAAATGTTTTGTTGTTGTTGTTGTTTGTGTGTTTGGGTTTTTTTTAGTAGAACAGCAAAAGACTTCAAACTCTATGGATTCATTTATAGTGTTTATCTCCTTTACAGTTAGGATATATTTTGATTTTGCTTGAAAAAAATCATACAGTTCTGTTGTCAAATAGAAAAAAATATATAGGAAAACTACTGGATCGGATGTTGTCTAAGATCTCTTGTCACTCCCTTACCCCGCCTGGTCGTGAGCTCTTTCTAAGAACACATTTATTTCTTAATACCCGTATCAAATACTTGAGTACACGTTTTGTGCTCGACTCTATTCTAGACATTTGGGATAATTCAGAGAATAGGGTTCCTGTCCTCATGAAGCTTGCATTCTAGTTTGGGGACATAAACAATAAATATAATTAATAAAGTATATAGTATATCATGAGTATGGGGAGAAAAAAATACAGCAGAGTTAGGAGGATCAAAAGTGTGAAGTGTAGGTGAGTAATAATTTTAATAGGTGGTCAGGGTGGGCCTCCTTGAAAAGGTGATATTTGGGACAAAACTTGTAGGAGATGAAGAAATCAACAGCACAGATACCTAGGGAAGAACATTTAAACAAAGAAAACAGTGCAAAGGCCTGAGGTAGGAGGATGACAAATGTACTTGATGAACATTAAAGAGACGGTGTGGCTGCAACTGACTGAGCCTGGGGAAGAGGAAGAGAGGAGGGCAGAGAAGAGATTGTGTACAGCTTTATAGGTTGTTTTGAGGACTTGGTCTTTTACTCAGAGTGAGAGATGGGAAGCCACAGAATGATTTGGGGCAGAGGATTGACATGCTGTAATATTTAAAAGAATTGCTCTGGCCGTTCTCTTGAGACTACCCTTGGGAGTAGGCGGGATGCAAGAGTGGAATTGGGGACACCAGTTTGTCCAGTCAAAAGATAAGAGAAGTCCAGACTAGGCTAGTAGCATTGGAGTCAGTGAGAAGTGGAAGGCAGAGCCATGAGGTTTTCCTGATAGATAGGCTATGGGGTAGGGAGGAGGCATGAAATTAAGACAGAAGTCAAGGATGGCTCCAAGGTATTTGGCCTGAGAATTAAAGGTTGGAGCTGTGGCAACAAAGATGGGGACTGCTGCAGGTGGGGTAAATTATTTTGGTAGAGGGAGAGAAGAAATTTAGATTTCATCTTATTAAGCTTAAGAGGTCTGTTGGACATCCAGATGGAGACATGGAATTGGCAGTAGCATATATAAACCTTGAATTGAAAGGTAAGTTGAAAATGTAAATGTAGGCTGCTTTAAAGCATGAGTCTTTACAAAGGGAGTGAATGTACAAACAGAAGATAGAATGAAGGGCTGAGTTCTGGTGCCCTCCAACATTAAGGGGTCTATAAAAAAAAGAATGAGGTTAGTTCCTGGGGGCAAGAAGAGTCAAGAGAAGGATTTTGTAAGAGGGCAAAATAATAGCATGATATGAGTGACCCAGTGAAAAAGAAGGGAAAGTAATGATAAAGGAGAGGGGAGAGAATCACTTGAGGGATGTCCTTGAGTGGGTAAGGAAGGGAAAATGGGAAGGACTAGGTCTGGGTGGGATGATAAATAATTCAGTACAAGTCCAGATGCTGGTGGGTGGGTAGATGTGGTGGCAGGAGTCTAACGTTCTTTTTTGATTTCTTTCATTTGTTTCAATAAAATAGGAAGCAGAGCCATCAGCTGAGTATGAGTGTGGAGGTGGGAGGTGTTAGAAGTTTGAAGAGAGGAGGGTGTGAAATACTTAACTAGCAAAGTGGGAGAGTAAATGAAGTTGAGAAATGTAGCAGTGAGATTTGTGGTCATGTATTTAAAAATGAACCAATTAACATGATTGTGTGTTTTCAGCACTTAATTTCATCCTTAGAGATACAAGTGTAGAGTGGGTGGAGAGTTGAATTTGACTGGGGGGGGGATTGTGGTTTTGACAAATGAGTTCAATAAAGTAAGAAAGAGGCAAGAGAAGTGAGGATCTATATAAGATTAAAATTGTTGACGATGGAATTTTAGTTAAGTAATGAGGAAAAGTAAGTTCTCAGGGGAGTGAGGTATGGTGAGAAGGTAGTAGGTTCAGTGCATTGGAGGTTTCTGGTGGGAGCTGCAATAGGGCAAGTGATCTTGAAAGAGAGGAGGTGGTAGTCAGAGCATATCATGCATGAAACTAAGATTATGGAAGAAGCACAGTCATAGGTAATGGCAGGGTCAAGTGTATGACTATGGGGAGTGAGTGGCTGACATAGAATGGAAGACAAGATCAGTGGAAGAGGTCAAGGAACTGAGAGGCCAGGTTGTTGGAAGAATCACCTATGATGTGTATATGGAAATGACCAAGAGTCAGTAGATCTGGGGAGTGTGACATTGAGCCAGGAGGGGAAGTGAGTGAGTGGTGGTTCATAGACAACAATAGTAATGAGGGGTGTATATATGTATGTACCACTTAGCTATATAATTAGCTGAAATGAGATTAGAATTGGAATATTTTAAGAGTGGACAGGAGGAACAATGAATCTGGAAACAGAGAAGTGGAACAAAGAGAACACCTACCCCAACCCCAGGTCAGATGGCGTAAGGGCTGTAGGAAGAGACTGGAGAGATCAGTGTCCTCAGGAGAGAGCCAGGTTTTTGTTTTTTAAAGATTTTATTTATTTATTTGAGAGAGATAGCGAGCGAGAGAGAGAGAGCACAAGTAGAGGGGAGAGGGAGAAGCAGGCTCCCCGCTGAGCTTGGAGTCTGACTTTGGGCTCCATCCCAGGACCCTGGGATCATGACCTGAGCCGAAGGTAGATGCTTGACTGACTGAGCCACCCAGGTGCCCCCAGGTTTTGGTTTAAATAATAGAAGGTGAAAGGAACATTCTGAGAAGAGGATAGAGGGGATTTTTCTGGGGGTGTATCGTGAATTAAGAGGGAATAGTAGAAGATTCTTAGGATAGGCAAGGGATAGGAGGTAAGGAGCAAGTACAGAAACGATGAGAATTTTATGACATTTTGTGAAATGGAGCCTCAAGGCACTTTGTGGTGTTTTGGAGAAGAAGAGATCAAATGCCTACGTCAGACATATTATTTATATACTTGTAAGTTTAAATTATCTTCATTCTATCTTATTTTTTCTATTACTAAATTACATTTTTTATGTAAGAAATCTATAACATTACTTTTGCTTTCCCCAACAAACTAGCTCCTCGTTTCAACTCCCCACCCCCCTTTTTTTCAACAGATGCATTTTTCCTTTAACCCAAAATCTCATTTCTGAGGATCTAATCTATTCATTTATCTGTGCATGTATGAAATGACATACATACAAAGTTATTCCTTATTACATCATCGGTAATAGCCAGATTGGAAAGAATTCTGTTGTGCAGCAGTGAGGGACTTGGGTATGTTCACAGAAAGAATACTGTGCAGTTGAAAACAGCAAGATCTTTAGCATATATATTGTTAAATAAAGAAAGCAGGGCACAAAACAGTGGATATAGAAAGTTACTTTTTGTGTATGAGAATGGGAAATAATAATTATATATATATTTTCTTATATTTGCATAAACAAACCAAAGAAAAGGAAAGACATGAAAAGTTTCACATAGGAAGTGAACGGGGATGGTATGGACTAGATGCAGGAGGAGGGTGGAGTGAGATTTCCCACTTTGCATGTCATTTTGATTTTTGACCATTTAAATGCACAGCTTATTCAAAAAAATATAAAGATACATTTTAAAGATATTACCATTATCTTGATTAGTAAACTGGAAACTTCACTTATCTTAGACCCTTTTCTCTCCTTAGTCCTACCTCTCCTAATTGATGACCGATTTTTCCCTTCACTGCCAAATTTTTCAAAGTGTGGACTTAACAGTAACTGCTCCCCTATCCTCCCAGTTGCTCACCTTCAGTGCCTCGAATCCTGATTTCTGCCTCCCTCACCCTCATCCCTTGGAGATCACCAAATTTGGTGTTTGGCTTTTAGTCTTCATCCTTTTTAACTTGCCCGTAGCACAGTGGGCACTGATAAAATCCTCTTGCCCTATCTGATGTGGGATTGTCCTCTCTTAGCTCTAGCTAGGGCTCTTTGGTGACTTTTTCTCTCTCTCTCTTTCTGGTTCCTCTTTTTTGTATTTTCTGTACATGAGACCTCCCAAACTTCTGGGCCTGGCCATCTTTTCTTTTCTTAGCATTTTCTGGGCTATCAAATTCTTCATTTTCAAAATAAGCAACTGTGTATGTTTTTTTTTCTTTTTTAGAAAACTTAATCTAAAGTATGACTTTTCCCTGCTAGCAGTCTCATCTATCTATTCTCATATGTTTGATCATCATTTCAACATCAGTTAACTATTGACCCTGATTGGCCTCACAATGTCCTTCACTGACATATGAAAGCCTATGTGACATCTTTCATGAGGATGTTTTGATACTGATTTTGTTGTTGATGATGATAGGGGATATTTATTTAATATTTCCTTTGTGTCAAGGACTATATTTAATAATTAACATATATCAGCTCATGTATCTGCCACAACAACCCTGTAAGATGGATACAGATAAGGAAAAGGAAATTTAAGAAGGTTAAATGTTTCTCTTCATAGATAGAAGAAAATTTAAGGTTAAATCACCCAGTTAGTAAGTGGCGTGGCAGAGCTGAAACTCAAGCCTGGCTGTATATGACTTGAAGTCAACCTCCTTACCCATTATCCTCCCCTTCCTCGTAATTCTGCAATTGATGTTTTTCTCCACAGCTGCTCTGCCCATTATACTCCCTATTTCCAAAGGTATCACTCTACACATAGGCTTACAGGATCTCTATGATATTTTGCTTGTCTAAGATTTAATTCATTCTGCCATCCAATCAAACACAAGACCCTTTTAATTCTACCTCTAGGAACTCTTATTTTTGTGTTTGCTTGTTCCTAGTACCACTACATTTTCTCTCACTGAGTGATTTTAATTGTCTTCTATACCAGGGTCCTATCTCTGTCTTTTGTACACTTCCAGTATCACTTATGCACAACACAGACTTATTTTAGAAAATCACGTTATTGGAAGCTGCAAATGACTCTAGTCATTACTTAGTCCAATTTAGTTAGGTTTCAGAGCTGGCAACTGAACTTAGAGTGATTGAGTGACTTGCTTGGGGAAACCAGACAGTAGAAGAGAAAACCATGAAAGTCAGTCCACTTGGTACCCAGTCCACCAGCTCTGAACGTGGTTTTCTTCTGTTCAGAAACCTTCACTGCCAAGTAAAGTACAACCTCTTGGCCTGGCCTTAAAGCTTTTGAAGAGGACAAGTCTGATTTTTAAGCTTTTTTTTACCCCCCCCATTTATTCCACTACTTATGCTTATGTTCTAACGAATTGGATTGCAGTCAGTTCCCTCTGCTCTTCTGCCCCTCCCCACTTCTGTCTTTTTTCAAACTCTTCCTTCTGTCTTAAGTTGATCTGCTTCAATTTCTTCTGCCAGAATATTGCAAATGACTGTGTTCCATGAATCCCTCCAGACAAGTGTGACTGACTGTTCCATTCTCTGAATAGCCAAAGCAATTTATTCCTCCCTCCCACTACTCATCTCTTGCCAACATGTGTTATCATTACCAAGTCACCTTCCTTCTTCCTACTACACTAGGTAATGAGTTCCAGAACAAGAGCGTATCCTTTTGATGTACGCACTGAAAGAACTGGTATGATGCCGTGTTACAGTGGTTAATTCATAACTATTGGGAGAGAGTGAAAGCAGGGTCTATGGTGACATTAGACATTTTTTCATCACTGAAGTTCTCTATTTCATAATTGGGTGGTCTTTCTTCAGGCAGTGATGACTACACATTTATGAAAATCTTTCTCTTTTCCTCTTTTTGGATGTGAAGAGAGTGAGGTAAGGGGTATTTAAATTAAATGATTTTCCTTCCTTAATTTAAAGATGATTGTGATTTTCTCATTACTAGTAAAATAAGAGTTTACTAAAATCACTGGACTCATTCATTTGGTATTTTTGTGGGCACTCAGCTAAGTACCAGAGATATGCTTCCCAAGGGCAAGGTTAGAGTGCTTAAAGCCCCATGCAATGTCATTCCAACCTTCTTTCCAGTCCCTCTGCCCAATGCCCATCTCTCCTCTGCTCCTAATGTACCAGCTCCACCAACTACTTTATATTCTTTTTATACTCAGTTTTGCTCTTTTAAACCTCCCTGCCTTTGTAGAAGCTCATTTACCTAACTACCTAATGCCCCACCTCAACTTCCTCCTCCTTTCTTATCCTTCATAGAGTTTACATACTTGCTTAAGAGCAGTAGTGTCTGGTTCTAAATTGGGTTTATTTTCCACTATATTTGATCTAGTTTTGAGTACAATGTTTTATGTTCCGTGTAGCTGCCTTACCCACTTTTGTGTATATATCTCATATAAACATAAATGACAGTGTATGCTCATGTATCTATTGTGAAAATTCTATTTCTCTTGACTTTGACTGGCATTCTATTACACAAAAACTTCTTGATATTAATCTAATATTCTAAAAAGACAGCCACTGAATACAAAGAAGAAAAAGTAGAAATAAAAAGATGACTGCCAAAGGCTATTAATGATGTTTGTCCTCTACTGACATTTTTAGAAGGTTTGCAGAAAACCAAAATAATGGGCTGATTTCCCTAAAGGGGTACTTTTTAATGCTTCATTTCTTTAGAATTTCAAATTATTTAAATTAAATTATTTATATTATTGACAGAGGATCCTAGGAATCAGTGGTCTGCACTATTCACTGAGAAAATATATTTTGAAAGGATTTTGCAAATGAAAGAACAGTGCATCAAAACCTGGTTTTCATTTTGGCTCTGCTGCAGTTGGCTTTTGCTAAGTCATATCACTCTTCTGAGCTCTAGTTTCTTGAGGGGAGTTGAATTAGTGTATTTTTAAAGTTCCTTCCAGCTTTGAAATTTCAAGATTTTATGTATAAACATAAGGCAGGAGAACAAATCTGGATATATCTGAAATCTGTGTAGAGGCCAGTTACCTTGTCAATATTCAGAGGAAGCACGTATCTCCTCACTTCAGGCTGGGGAGCCTTTCTGGCATTTTTTTTCACCTCTTCCCAGTTCTCACGTAAATTGGCTAAATATAAGTAATTATAAACAAATTCAAATCTGCAAAAGTAAGAAGTCAGACATGAGCACAGACAATTGCAGATAATTTCAGAGAGATGATCCATGCCTTTTAAAAGAACAACTGCCTGCCTGTTCTGTATGGCCTTTTTTTTTTTTTTTTTAAGATTGATTTATTTATTTTAGAGAGAGAGAACAGGCGAGCAAGCATGGTGTAGGGGATAGGGGTAGGGGGGGAAGGGCAGAGGGAGAGAGAGTCTTAAGGAGACTCTGTGCTGAGCGTAGAGCTGAGGTCAGGCTCGCTTCCATCAACCCTGAGATCAGGACCTGAGCTGAAACCAAGAGTCGGACACTTAACCGACTGTGCCACCCAGGCGCTCCAACCTGCCTGTTTTTTTATTCTCCAACCCAGAAACTGCTAATGACCCAAGTATATTAGAGCCATTTCCTCCTGTCCATGCTGCATGAAAAACAAACAAACAAAACAAAGAAACCTGCCTCACCAATATGTTTACATAAGAGCAGCTTTTGATACTTCCTGTTCTGTTTCTCCATCATCATTCTGTGTCTTTATGGGCTACTATCTTTTTAAGTGACTTGGTATTCTCAAGAAAGCGTGCCTCATTCTTCCAAACCCAGAGTGGGTGGAGTTCAAGGCCCCACAGGGGATCTTGTCAAGTTGCAGTGAGGTTAAGTTTAAATTTACTTATCACGGCATAGCACCTTTTATTTTCAGATCAGGTTCATAGACCTGATCAGTTTTCAATAATTAACCATGGTTTTGATGTTCAGTTTATGATTGCTTCTGATTACCTAGCCTCCCTACTGCTTTTTCAATTATATTCTGTGACTTAAGCACACTTCTTGCTTTTTTTTAGCTGTAATTCATATTAAATATTGAGAGCGGCATCTCTGAAAATGGCCCCTAATTTCTAGGCATGACTGGGAGATGTAACATTATCCAGTGTCCTTTCTTACCCTTTCCAGCAACAGAGATCCACAATCAGAAACTCATTGTCTTCATAAGTATTGATGTGATGGAAGAGATTAAAAGAAGAGGTCCTGTATTTATTATTGAGATACTTTCTTCTTTTTTTGTCAGCGATATGAAGCCAAACCTTGAAAAGTGAGGAGAATATTTTGATGCATTTAAAAAGGAAAACAGTATACATTATGAAACGTCTTCTTTGGAATCATAAACTTGACAGATGCACAACTTACCCCCATGGTTTCATTGGACTCAAAACAATCCATGTAGTTGGCTCCCCAAAGACTCCATGAAGAAAGGAACTTGAATAGGTTAATTTTGACTGGCGTCTCCACAAAAACAATATAGTTGGGAGTCAAACCAAAACTGTTTAGAAGCACAAATAGACTTGTGAATGGGAAGGGCTGATTCTCAAACCACAAAGAAATATGTGCACATGAGGTATGAATCAACAGTGCCTACATGAGATTAATTACATTTAAATTTAGGTTTCTGCAAGAAAATGTCGTGATCAGGATTGGTATCAAAGGTAGGCAAAGCAGATCTTTAAACTTGAGTTTTCCTGAAGATTCATAGCAGGCCTTCAAGTTACCTATGGACGTAAGATGGCTTGAATCGGTCACTGCAGGGGAATTGTACAACGACCTCTGACTTGCTTATTGGATCTTCCTTGTCTGAAATAAAGCGGTTTTAAAAGGCTTTGGAAAAGCCTTTTTTTTCCTCTTTTAATACAAAGCATTTAGAACAGCTTATGCAAGTAAAGAAATACATTTTCAGATCTTGATTTTTTTTTAGGGCTTATTTTCCTTTCCTCAGTCATTGGCATTTCTTAGGGAAATTTCACGTGGAGCTACAATCACCCAGGAAAATCCAAACAGCAGCAGATTTGGAAATGTGTGCTCAGTGTTGTGGCAGGCAGAGGACCGTGGGGTCCCATCTTAACAACTGGAGGTGGTAGGTGCTAAGTCAGTGAGTAAGGCAAAAATGTAGTATGATGAAAATGCCTTTTGTAATCCCTTAAGTTACCTGTATAGTATATGTGGGTTTGTCTCATTAGTTCTGTACAGTAATTCTTAAGCACAGTAAAGTTTGTTTCCTACTATGTTAGTGGTCTTCAAACCTTAGTGTGCATCAGAATCACATAAAGAGCGTCTTAAAAGAGTAATCGTGGGCCCACACCCAGAATTCCTCCTTCAGTCAACCACTGGTGGGGCTCTGGATTTCTAGCGGCTTCCCCAAGTGATGCTGCTGGTCTAGGGACTACACCTTGGGATCCATGCTATGCAATACTAAACTATATATTCAAATATATATATATTCAATCTATATATATTCAAATAATTCTGTCGCCAAGATGGTTATCAAACTTCTGGCAGTGAATGGAGGATGAATGGAGAATTCTAAAGAGTACTCTCTTTTCTGTTTTAATATTATTTCTCTATAATATTAATATGAGTTAATAAATTTGTTTGTGGCTTTGGGAATTAAACACACACAGAATACTTAGTACCCTGTCATGTATGTGTGTGTGCTATGATGCATATGCATATGTTTGTTTAAAAATTTAATTTTGCCTGGAACATAAATAAGGGCTCAATAAGTATTTCCTGAATTTGAATCTAACTCTTATATGATCAAATACTCATATACACTACATTTTTGAAACACTGTAGAATACGATTTGGCCGCTTGCTTTCTATATTTTCAAGTCGTCATTTTCTGCTACCGTGCTTCTGGGCATTGGTCCCTGGTAGGGCAATCTGAAAGTAATTTAACTGTGCATCTATAATGTGATCCTGATATTCTGATCTGGTAATCCCATTTCCGGGAATTTTCTCACAATATAGATACTTGTTTTAAGAAGAGTCAAATTGGTAAACTGACCTGCTTGTAGTGGAGGGATCTTTACAATATTGTAGGCAATTGAAAAATTTTTCCCAAAGCAATTACCAATGTTGTAAACAGTTCCATCACTTTCAATATGGGGGTGAGCAGTGGCTCCATTGACAGAGACATAGTTGCAAAGATCAACCTATGGAAGGAGAACAGATGTCATCCGTGTAAAGAGAAACGCTGTTTTACCCCGTGGTCTCTAGGTCTGACCTTACTGCTACCACTTGCATCCTCACCCAAAATGCATTTTCTCTTTCTTTCCATCTTTCTGGGTTCTACCCTATTTCAAGTCTGCCTGAGTTCCTATTTTCAGTGCACAGCTTTCCTCTGACCCTCATGCTGAGCCCCAAACCTCTGAAATCTTGGAGATTCTTGACTGTGTTCTTCAGTGTATACCATACACGGTTCTGGTTAGTTACTTTCCTTTTGCACATGCAGATTGTTCTCAAACTGATAATGTGAATGCTGGGATTTCTATATATCTCCCCTGTTGTATTAGATGAATTGTGTGAAATTGCTGAGATATACAATAATTTTTATTTTACAAAAATGGCCATTTTGTATAGTATAACCTAAATACCAAATCCAGTGGCTTGCACAGAGTATAAATTTGGAACTGAAAGAAACCCCAGGATTCTATTTAGTACAGAGTCAACCTAAATAGACTTCAGGAGAACCATGAATCTCCTGGAATTAAATGCAAATGTTTTTGGAGAAAAGATTTAGCGCTTTAATTCAATTTGGAGTCTCATAAGAAATTCAGAATCACAAATCTAGCATAAATCTCTCTGTGTACAGAAAGAGAAATTGAGGTCTAAGAGAGGTCAAGTGATTTTTTTCAAGGATACAGAGCCACACACTGGCAAAATCAGCACTAGAATTTCTACCGTGACTTGCTCAGTACAGATTTATTGAATGAATAATTGATGAGGTATATAACCAAAATTCTTTCTATTTGATTAGGAGAATATGTTTTAAAGGGAGTTTTTAGTATTCTTATTTAAATAATAAGTAAGACATTCATTCGTTCGATCATTCATCAAGTACTCATTGAACTTCTATTATTAATATACCAGGGTCAAGAATTCACTCTAGACTTATGCTGCCCAAAATGGTAGCCACATGTAATTTAATGTGGATTGATTTTGATTAGATAAAATTTTAAATTTAGTTCCTCAGTCACATTAGCCACATTTCAGGTACTCAGTAGCACTTGGAGAATGCACATAGAGAACACTGCCGTCATTGTAGAAAGTTCTATTTTATAGTACTGTTAGACCAGTAAGCTGGTATATAATATAGTGCATTGCTGGTAAATGCAAAATGGTATCTGTAGAGAAGGGTCATCTAACCCAGACTGGGAGATTAGACCAGGCTTCCCAAGGACAATGACTCCAACTAATGCTTGAAAGACAAGTAAAAGTTAGCCAGGTGGAGAAGGATGACAGGTGTTTCAGGGAGTGGGAACCCTAATGTACAAGCATTGAATTGTGAAATAGTAGGTGCTGTTTGGGGATTACTAGTCTGTAATCTGTGAAAGGCATGCACGGAGGAGGAGAAATAAGAACCAGTCAGCCACAATGTCCTGTTTGGACTTTATCTTGGGAACTGTGGGTGCCTCAGATAGAGTAACACATTTATACTTGTATTTTAGAAAAATTGCTTCTACTGAATTAGGGACATTGTATTTAAGAGAATCAGGCCGGAGGCAAAGGCACTGATTAGGAGGCTATTTTAGTAATAGTAATAAAAAAAATCAAGTTTTGAAACTATATTTTTATATGAAGTCAAGGTACACTGATACAATGAAACTTGACCCCCTAATTAAGGCTATTTTGGAGCCGTACATGAACTTTACATTTGCAATGATAGTACCATAGCAATTTGAATACAGATTCACTCATCAGAGTTAAATGAGTGGTTTAGAATTCAGTTTCAGTTCTTCTCCAAATTATCTAACACATACCCTTATACGATTACAGACATACATCAAAAACAAGAAAGAGCTATTGAAGAAGATATGTTAAGCCTTAGTAAATAGTCTGCTGAGAATTATAAAATAGCTAGTGACATTGAGACCTAGGGTTGGGACTATTTTTCCTTTCTATTTCTACTACACTGAATTTCTAGTTCTGGTTCTTAAATTCCACCTAACTTGTCTCCTAGCTATCCCTTATCTCTTTTGTTCTCCCATATAGTTTATGCATGGCTTCCAGATAAGGATCCTAAAGCACAGCTCTGCTTACACCATTTCTCCAAGCAAAAACTGCCAGTAGCTTCCCATTAGCTAAACATCTTATTCCAAGTTTTTGTCTTACCCAGGTTGTCTTTACCTATTGATAGATCCTTTGCACCTAGTATAAATTCTGATACATGGCAGGGACTCAGTTAGTGTCACAAATGAATGAACAAATATGTTAGGCATTTTATAAGGTTTTCCTCCAACCCATATTATAAGTATTTAAAATTTCATAGAGGAAGAAACAAAGTTTGCCCTGTGTCACATAGCTAGTTGTTGATGACAAAGCAAGGAGGTGAAAATCTATTTTGCCCTCATGTTCTTTCCCCCAAATTGCAGTTAATTCTAAACTGCATGTTCTAACTTCTCGAGCAATGCTGCCTGAGCATTGTGTCCTACCTGCTTAATTGTCTCCAAGGTCTCGGGATTAATCTTTGTAATGAAGTTGGTCTCTGTGCAGGCATAGTAATCTTCCCCTACTGGGTAGACGTTAACAAGGGCATTGTCAGTGACCTCCACTCCTCGAAAGTAAGAAAAAAACCTGCAGAAGCAAATGGATTTTTCAGTCCAGTGCTTTCAAGCCGTGAGAGAAAAGGGCTAATGTAAAATGTCTTTAATAACATGCAGTCAAGTTTCAGTAACCTGGAAAATATATTCTTGCAGGGATCTGGGAAAGCACAGGTGCCAAATTCCGTTATGACGATTCTTTTCTCAGTCATTGCCCGGACGTAAGCATCAGTGCGGATGAACCTGAAGGACACAGAGACATGGGAAAGGGTCATAGGCAGGGGCAATCAGTATGGTTCATATGGAGCTGAGAATGGTCATTCCGTGTGTCCTTAACAAGTTGGAACCATAAATCCACAACATGAAGAATGAGGAGTATTGCCAGGTCACTTTCTCAGAGTGACTAAGAGAGAAAGAGACAGTGTGCTATGAGCTTAAGTTTATGTCTGTTTATGTCTTATAAACCTCACAATGATAGATGAGGAAATTGAAGCTCATGGCTTGGACTTGTCATGTCCAGCAGAGAAGTTAAGCCATTGACATATGTGATGGAGCTGGGTTAGAACTCAAGTTGGCCAGGGCCAGGAAAGGTGCATTTCTCCATATCACACTATGCAGCCTCCATGGTGGTTCACATAGGACCTCTGACTTCCTGTAGCCTATAACATATCAACCTAACACTGAATGGAGAAATACAGAACATGGTGTGCTGAATTATATTCCTTTCAATCTCCCTTATGTCACTCTTGGTTTTTTTCTTCGATTTAAAAATTTATTTTGCTGGGGAGACGAACCATGAGAGACGATGGACTCTGAAAAACAGACTGAGGGTTCCAGAGGGGAGGGGGGGGGGATGGGTTAGCCTGGTGATGGGTGTTGAGGGGGGCACGTTCTGCGTGGAGCACTGGGTGTTATGCACAAACAATGAATCATGGAACACTACATCAAAAACTAATGATGTAATGTATGGTGATTAACATAACAATAAAAAATTATTTAAAAAAATTTATTTTGCTAGTTTTAAAAGTAGGGTGTTCTTGAATCCAGTATCTTGCACAGACAGAACTCCGCAACCATATCCCATACGTTGTCTAGGATTTCTCATGTAGAAAGCCAATTAAAATCTGATTTTGCATTTCTTCCAATGCATATAATAAAGTTTAAAATTTCATGAATGAAGAGACAAAGTCAAGAAGAGGAAAAAGTACCAAGGTCTTTAGGGGGCATATGAAAGCTTCGTCTGACTCCTTTAGCTAAATTTGTGCTTGACCTGATCTATTTCTCTTCTATTACAGTCTGAGTTATCCTGACTATAGCAAGCCTTCATTTGCTCTTCCTTTTGGTGTCTCTTCAGAATTCCTGATACCTGTGGTGATCAACAAAGCCTCTAACGGGTCTGACTATTAAAGCAAAAGCAATTTATTGTTGTGTTAATGGATACTTGGACTGAAGGCTTAGACCTTGGAGCCTTTTTGCAACAATCTTCTGTTCTTAGAAAACTTATTAATAATACATTATATGTTAAAAAAAAAGAAGAAAGTAAGAAGGGAAAAGTGAAGGGAGGGGAATCAGAGGGGGAGATGAACCATGAGAGACTATGGACTCTGAGAAACAAACTGAGGGTTCTAGAGGGGAGGCGGGTGGGGGGGATGGGTTAGCCTGGTGATGGGTATTAAAGAGGGCATGTACTGAATGGAGCGCTGGGTGTTATACGCAAACAATGAATCATGGAACACTACATCAAAAATTAATGACCTACTGTATGGTGACTAACATAACATAATAAAATAAAATTAAAAAAAGGAAAAAAATTTTGAATAGTGATAAAAAAAAGGAAACATCTTTCTTGTATCATTATGACATAATTTGGTCCTTCCCTCTCTGGGGCCACCCCTCCCTCCTACCCAAGAGCCTTTCTGATTATTAAAAAAAAAAAAAAAAGGAGTCAAGAGAACCAGTGGTCTAATAATTATAACAATAACTATAATAATAGCAACTTATTATTACTGCATGCTTTCCAGGTACTTCATTTAATCCTTGTAATGACCCCTGAATTTTAGAGATGACAAAACCAAGAATTAGAGATGAACATCTTGCCAAAGGTTGCCCATTTAGGCAAGCGGTGTCTGGTAGATGTAGAATTTGAAGCTGGCCTGTTGGGCCCGAAAGCTCTAGTCCTTAGGTTCTTCTTTATCATCGCCCAGCTCCCAGGTATCTATGCAAATGTCCTGGGTCAGTTGATTCTGAGAGGAAGCAAATCTAGAAGTCGCCTCTTGGGTTCAAGAGGTTGAGAAACATGTAGGAGGAGGAGCTAAGCTAGGCCCCACCCCCAGGAGGAGTGGGACCTGGCATTCTTTACCTTCTATGATATGTGACATGTCCTTCTTTAAAGTCAAACTTGTGCAGGAGGGCTTGCCCATCAAACAGGTGGTAAAATGGTTCAGATCCAACTTCAAAGAGTCCTGGCCCACATCGAAGGAGACTGCCAGTGAGCCAGAGGGGGATCCTGCCTGTGATGAAGGTGAGACATAGAGCATTGTTTCTTACCCCTGCCCTTTGCTGGGCACATCCCTAGCAAGGGGTGGTGATTATATTAGCAGCTCAGTTGGGCAGCCTCTTTGTAATGCTGATAGTGATTTTCATTCCCAGCTCTCACCCTGGGCGGCCCTTACAAAATGCTTGCTGACTTGACTCCCCTTTCGCTAGGAGACCAAGTGGTGGGAAACGTTGCAATGTCTGGGTTTGGATAAATGGTGGGACAAAGACAAGGAAAAGCACCTAGGGACTCTGGAGGAAATGGGAGGACAATGGGACTCTGCACCTAACAGATTTCCCCAGATACCAACACATTTGCCTTTTTACCATCTCACTTTTAAGAATTTCAAATTTCTTGATGTATTTTGATGGAGTGAGGGGTGGGAAAAGTGGATTAGGAATAAGGATCAAAACACTAAAAAAAGGTGTTTCTATAGAAGAAGCCATCTAAATGGCAACAAGAATACTGGCTTTTTAAAACCTATTCCTTTGAGGTTATGGGCTACTGTCCAGATGATTAACCTCCTGAAGGAGAAATTGCACAGGGCTGGCTGTCAGAGACCTGGATTCTGGTTCAGGATTTGCCACATGCCATCTCTGGGGCTCACTGTCCTCATCTGCAAAATGAGGGGTATACAACAAAAGCCATAAGGCCTTTCAGTTTAAGCAGTGAGGTCTGTGCCCTTGTATCCTTTGGAAAGTGCAGTGTTTGCTTAATCCTTACAATTTTTTTTTAAACAAATGGATTATTTCCTGCAGTTCTATTTCAGCAGCCTGCTTCATAAGAATGTATAATTCTGATAAAACCTTTAAGAAGGCATGACTTAACTAATGACACAACATAAATTTGATTGCTAGAACCTGAATTGTTAGCATCAGAATCTAGCTGAGAAAGAACATTTAGCTTCTCCCTTTTATTTTACAGAAGAGGAAATGGGAGGAAAGAGACTTGCCATTCCAAGCAAGGATGATGTATGGGTCACGTGATGTCTTTGGATAACGCTAACAATAGTAATAATGAACAACCACTTAGTGGCTGCTTTATTTTGGACACTAGGTGAATCTTTCAGTTATCCTACTCAATCTTCACAATATCCTCATGAGGGAAAGTTTGGTTTTTGATAGGTAAGGGAACTGAAACTCAGAAAGTTTAAGTAACTTGTAAGATTCCCAGCTAGTAAAATAATGGAGCTGCAATTAGCTGCAATTATCACCACATCTATCTGACTCCAGAAGCAATACAACAGGCATGAAACCTACCACCCTTTATTGTAATATTTCCAGATGCTTGTCACCTGGTCCTCACTTATCCAGACACTGGAAGATAATGGAACAGACATTTCTAGGAAACTGACTATGTGCCAGGTACTGAGTTAGGCACTGACAGTTTCAAGATGACAAAAGATGTAGTCCCAGTCCTTAAGGAATTCCAGTTAGACAGCATGTTTCTCCATTAGGGAAATAAAAGGTAAATGAGAGGAAATGGGTTTCTGGCAGAAAAGGCCCACACCTCCAGATTCCCCTCTCTGGAGCCCACAGGGGGAACCACCACTGAGAGATGCCAATGAATAAAAAGCCAGAGAAGAGGGATCTTGACAAAATAGAGAAGATGGTTTCAAGACTGGTGAGACCAACCTGTAACATGAGCTGTGAGCGGTGAGGACAGTTCCTCCACAGTTTCGAACAGTTTCTTGTAACCACCAGCAGGATGTTCAACTCTGAAAAGGTGGAATAATTGGGAAGAAGCCCACGTTGATACTCAGAGAAGTCCCCTGAGACAGAGGCAGAGCTCCAGGAGAAAAAGCATTCTCTGGTTCAATGTCAGAGCACCACTGCCAGTCTAGCCTTTGCTTGAGGGGGGCGACAGAAATGTCCTCAGGTTTCCTAGTGGGGGCAGGTGGGTGCTGGGTCAGTGCTCTACTTTTGATGTCAGGGGAAATGACCTCCCTTTTATTTATTTTTTTTCTCTCTCTTTTTTAAATTTTATTTTATTATGTTATGTTAGTCACCATACAATACATCATTAGTTTTTGATGTGGTGATCCATGATTAATTGTTTTTGTATAACACCCAGTGCTCCATGCAAAACGTGCCCTCAATACCCATCACTGGGCTCATCCATCCCCCCACCCCCCTCCCCTCTAAAACCCTCAGATTGTTTCCTGGAGTCCATAGTCTCTCATGGTTTGTCTCCCCTTCCAATTTCTCCCTTTTAATGTCACAGTGAACTTAATTCTGCCCTCTGCAGTCTTCCCACATTTCTGATGACAAATCCATTAATCCTGCTGCTATCACTTGTCTTCCCCCAGAATTACCCTGTCCTGTCGCTACTCTAAGTGCACTGAATCATTGATTCTCTTTCCTTATCCCTCTCCCTCCAAGAGTTGGGTGATGACAGCTTTTTGGGTCAGTAACTCACTCTTTGTTATTCACCCATATTATACCATCATCTCTTCCTATCATCCTATTTCTTCACCAATCTCCAAGAGCTATGGTTCTCTTTAAAATTAGTCTGACTAGGAGATTCAGGTTTCATATTTTTATTTATTTCTTACCTCCTCACTTTGGCTTCATTTTATAACTTCTTAGAGTGGGGACTCTGACCAGACTCCTTAATTATGAGAGCTATCTTTCATTAAGCACTTACTATGTGCCACACACCATAAGGAGAATTTTGTATGCTCTTAGCTCATTTAAATGTCACAATACCACAATGGGGAAAATATGGCTCTTATGCTCATTTGATACCTAGAAAATCGTAAACTACGAAAGGTTAAGTCCAAAATCACACAGCTAGGAAATGGCTGCAACCTAGGCCAGCCTCATCACAACATCATGCTCACAACTGTTTTCAAGGCCCATTCACAAAAATCCCACAGTAATTTACACCCCAATTCTAGATATTTGCTTCAATATATAAATAGGAAGAAATTCTCCCCTTCAAGACCTGAGGCGGCCTCCCATAAGCAGGCCATCAATCCTCTTCAGGACCTCTTGAAATAGCCCATTTACCATCGACCCACTAAGGCATTTAAAAACACCTCCCAGAGATACTTACTGGATGGACATTTTCTCTCGGTGGAGGATTGAGAGTTCTGGCACCAAGTGCAGAATGAGGAAGCAAGTCCTCAACCAGGGGCTTTATATGCTTTCTAAGTCTCTCTGAAAGGAATTAGGGCTTTCCCACCCCCTCAGCTGAGAGAAGGGGAACAGAAGTGGCTTTCAGCACTCAGATCCTCCTGATGCTTGAGCATTATTTGGGCTTGCCGTTCCCATAACAGCGTTTTGGCTGTTTTCCAGATACCTCAATCCTTCCCAGAGAGAATGACAAGTGGATTGGAAAGAAAGGAGCTGTGTGGGAGTGGCTAGCGTCAGGACTGAGCTGATCCGGGTCACCCCACTGGAATCTGGCATCATTCTCTGGCCCTGACCTACCTCTCATCTTCACTCTCATGGATTCCTTCACTTAACTTATTTTTTAAAACATCTATTATATATTGTCTATGGGCCAGACAGATGGGTACCGTCCCTGTCGTCACAGATGTTGTCACTCTGCAAGGACAACAGGAAACTAACGAACTATTCAATAACATTTTATAAGTGTTATGATTGGAACAAGTATGGAGTGTTATGGAAACACACTGTAGCACCTCCAACCCTCTCTGGTTGCCTTATTGGCCCCCTTCATCACCCTAGTTAGAATGAGGCTGAAGATTTTTTTTTAATAGCATTTTTAATATATCAATAATTTTCTATGCTTTTCAAAGAACCTTTTTGAAGACATAAAAATATCACAGATCATTTCATAATAATAGTGAATAGCATTGCAATTGTTAAATAAGAAAATACATAGTGATATTGAGTATAAATGTATAGTATATCAATCACAATTGTAACAAAATAAAAATTCAAAAAGTAGGTTGATATTTTTATATAACCTATAAATTATGATGTATACATTAGTCTACATCTAGACTTCCTGTAATAACTCTCTATGGACTTATAGGGCTTTTTAAAAAAATTTTATTATGTTATGTTAGTCACCATACAAATACATCATTAGTTTTTGATGTAGTGATCCACGATCCATTGTTTTCGTATAACACCCAGTGCTCCATGCAGCACGTGCCCTCTTTAATACCCATCACCAGGCTAACCCATCCCCCCACTCCCCTCCCCTCTAGAACCCTCAGTTTGTTTCTCAGAGTCCATAGTCTCTCATGGTTCATCTCTCCCTCCAACTCCCCCCCTTCATTTTTCCCTTCCTTCTCCTACTGTCCTCCATGCTATTCCTTATGTTCCACAAATAAGTGAAACCATATGATAATTGACTTTCTCTGCTTGACTTATTTCACTTAGCATAATCTCTTCCAGTCCCATCCATGTTGATGTAAAAGTTGGGTATTCTTCCTTTGTGATGGCTGGGTAATATTCCATTGTATATATGGACCACATTGAAGATTTTTTTTTAAGATTTTATTTATTTATTTAACAGAGAGACACAGCAAGAGCAGGAACACAAGCAGGGGGAGTGGGAGAGGGAGAAGCAGGCTTCCCGCCGAGCAGGGAGCCCGATGTGGGGCTCGATCCCAGGACCCTGGGACCTGAGCCGAAGGCAGACACTTAAAGACTGAACCACCCAGGCGCCTCGAGGCTGAGGATTTTATGTCCTTTAGATTTGCTGGGGATGAAACCCTTTCCATCTCCGCACTTGTCACTAGTGCCTGTTTGTTCTGCACCTCACCATCCTGTTCACTGGTATGTGTGCTGCCCTCAGAGAGTAGATAGCACTATTTCCTTCACATTTCCATCAGCTTTAGTTGTTTGTCAGCACAGACATGGTGCTGCCCAAAGGAGTCCCTGGAAACAAAGTATCTACTCTACCAGCTGACAGCTTTAATATTTTTTGAGAAACCCATTATCCATTTTGAATTTAAGAAGTGGTTATGACTATTAACCCTAGACCTCCTCAGTCAAACAACCTGAGCATTCCCAAGATAGAAGATAGGAGCTTCATTTCCTAGCCTGCCTTGCAATGAGAGCAAAGGCATGTGACTGGAGCTTCACCAGTCAGAGGAAGGAGCAGAGGTACTAGTGGTAGCACCTGGTGTCCAGCACCAGCTAGGTCTCTGCCCATCCTAGGCTGTCATAGTGTCTCCAGTGGAGCCATTCTACAGTGGAGCCTGGAGTATTATCACTGGCCTGGTATTCTCCAAACCCCATACTTTAGCCATATCAGAGATTCTGTTAGCTACCTAATATTAAAATTATTTGTGTAGCTGCTTGATGAACTGAAATTGGTTTCATTGTTTACAACTAAGAGCTCTGTCTCTATAAAATGATGGTAATACAGGATACTGTAGTATCACACAGGATGAACATCTGTATTGGTATATGGAGGTCCCAGAGGGATTTTTGAGGAAGTCTCTAAGCTGAGATAAGGAGAATATGTAAAAGTTAGCTAGTCAAAGGGCAGGGAGAAGAGTGTTCAGACGTAGCCTGTAGCATTCACCAAAGTCTAGAAGTGAATGTGATTTGGGGAAATGGGAAAAGATGAAGCCAGATTTGAGATGACCATAAGCCAGATTTTGTAAAGCTTTGTAAACTATGTAAAGAAATTGAGACCCATATCATGAGATCAGAGGGAATCACTGGAATGTGGTATTCAGAAGAGTAATACCATCTGATTTGCATTTTATTAAGACTAGTTTGATTACATTGTATATAATATATTGGAATGGGAGATTTGGGCAAGATAAATCAGAGACCAAACAAGTGAAGGCAACTGATGTGATGCATTGGGGTTGGATATGAATGGTAAGATTCAAGAGCTATTTCAGAAAAGGACTGATCACATTTTATGCTTGGTAAGTACATTGAGGAAATGAAAGGTAGAGAAAGGATGACCGCTTGGTTTCTGGATTGAAATATGGTACAAATACTTGAGAAAGTATACACTGGGTGTGTGTGTGTGTGTGTGTGTGTGTGTGTGTGTATGTATGAGAGACGGAGAGATGTTTTAGAGATGCAGAGAGAATGAATTCTGATTTTGATAAATTTGTTAAAGAGGTGACTGGGGGCTGTAAGAGTTTGAAGGCTTCATAGGGAAGTAGAGCGAGTTGGCATCTGAAGGATTGGCAGGGTGTGGACACACAGAAGATGGACAGGGTATCTGGTGATGGGAGCAGAGTGAGAGAAGGCAGAGTAGGCAGTTTGGGAGGCAATGTCCAAAGGAATTTCTATCTCTTGCACTATTTCTGTTGGATTTTGTTTTCTCAGAAGTGTCTCTTCTTGAATAGAATTATGGGCCATGTTGTGATATCTATATACTGTCAATCCACTGAAGAGAAATTCCAGGAATGTCAGAACCCAGCTGATTTTCTTCATTTTCACCTCCCATTGAAAGGGGCCAAAGCAGAGGCTTTGTGGCAGCCAGGTGCTAGAAAACCTACACCAGCTGAGTGATGAAGCATTGACAAACTGCATTTTCTATTGAGGAGCATTTTTGGGAGATGAAAACCAACCTGACTGGTGACCATGACTGTACCAAATGCCTTTCGTAGGTATTCCTGTGGTGCCCTTGGTATTCCGGGGCCATAGCCACGTTGCTTAATTGTAGGAATGGATTTTGGTGATTTTTGTATTTAGTTTTGCATCTGTGGTAGCCTTTATTCTCCAGCCTATTTCAATCCTAGAAGTCAGCGGCTTGAGGGCCATTTTAAAAATACAAATCATAGCGATTCATTCCTGGAAGACGTATTGGCTCATGGATCATGTGAATCATCAAGTTAACATGCTTGATTAAAGTGAGAATGAAATCTAATTACTGTGCACTGACTCTCATGGAACCCCGAGTTCTTCAGGTATAAAACAAGGAAAATATGCAAAAACATTTTTTAGCACAAAGTACCCTCTATACAAATATTAAGTGATATTTACCAATGCTCATTCATAGGGAGTTTGATTTCATATCTAATCTTCCAGCTAACACCTCTTACCTCAGGGCAACCCATTTCTATGTATTCTCTCTTGGTGTGAAGTCAGAAAACAGCTGGGCTATATCCTTTCCAAAGTATTGTTTTGACCTCTTAGCTTCTAACGCCCAAAATGTGGACCTCTTTCTCAAGTCTATCTGTATTTTTCTGTCATTTCATTGTTATACACTGGATCACCAATCTATTGTTACTTTTTCTTTCATCCTCTCCTCTTATTCTCCACTTTAATTTTTTGTTGTTTGGAAAAATCAGATTTTCATTTTCAATTTATATATCTGCCAAAGAAACTTTCATTTTTTTAAATTTAAATTTTAGTTTGTTAACATACAGTGCAATATTGGTTTCTGGAGTAGAATTCAGTGACTTACCATTTACATACAACACCCAGTGCTCATCATAAGTGCCCTCTTTAATACTCACCACCCATCTAGCCCATCCCCCACCCCCCACCTCTCTCCATCAACCCTCAGTTTATTCTCCATTGTTAAGAGTCTCTTATGGTTTGTTTCCCCTCGCTCCTCCCCCCCCATATGTTCATCTGTTTTCTTTCCTAAATTCCATATGTGAGTGAGATTATATGGTATTTGTCTTTTTCTGACTGAATTATTTCACTTAGCATAATACACTCTAGCTCCAACCACATTGTTGCAAATGGCAAGATTTCACTTTTTTAAAAAAGATTTTATTTATTTATTTGCTAGAGAGAGAGAGAGCACAAGAGAGAGCACAAGCAGGGGGAGCAGCAGGCAGAGTGAAGGGAAGAAGCAGGCTCCCTACTGAGCAGGGAGCCAGATACAGGACTCAATCCCAGGACCCTGGGATGATGCCCTGAGCCGAAGGCAGCCGCCTAACCTACTGAGCCACCCAGGCATTCCATGAGATTTCACTTTTTTTTTTTTTTAAAGGTTTTATTTATTTATTCATGAGACTCAGAGTGGGAGAGAGAGAGAGAGAGAAGCAGAGGGAGAAGCAGGCTCCCAAGCAGCAGGGAGCCCGATGCGGGCCTTGATCCCAGGACCCTGGGATCATGACCTGAGCCGAAGGCAGATGCTTAACCATCTGAGCTGATGGTTGAGTAATATCCCATTGAAACTGTTTAATTTTGATATATTTTGGTACA